CCCCCTGAAAAAATAAATCTCCAACCAACTCAACTGGGGATCCAGCGCTGACGACCTGGGCTCCTGACAAGAACTACGCTAACCAGATAACAGGTCAATTTGCGGGTGATTGCCGGGGTCAACGTCATAAAAGGCGAGAAAATGACCACGTCAAAGAAACCCCTCGCCCCAACACCTGAACGAGACGCAGACCCAGTGACAAAAAGGATACAACAGCAAATCACATCGAAAGAAAAAAAAATAGTAATAATGCGCTGCAGATGGAATGTTTTGGACTCCCGGGTTTTGGAGTTTGGTGGGGGGGAGGGGGGGTTTATAGTTTGAGTAAGGAGCAGCACATTGACACAATAATAGTTATTTTGTGCTGGAAAAAAGTAAGGCAGAAACAGCTGAGGGGAAGTAAAGAAGTAGGAACTATTAGGACTCTCGGGAAAGTGGAAGATTTTGCTTTTGCAGATAGCATCTTTTGCCCCACAGCCAGGAGGGCCGCACATCTAGCTGTTCTAGACACAACTATTTCAATTTCACGCGACGCACGCAAAGAATAGACAGGGCCTGTCTGTGACAATGCACGTGTGCGTGACAAGCCAACAGAACCAGAGGAGCACAATAGAAGCAGAAGCTTATTTTTATAGGCATTCCGCTCCAGCCAGGTGCAACACAGAAATGGCGTCCTTTGCAGTCCTAGGAGAGAGTCATTGTTAAAACTACGCTCACTTTTCCCCATATAATATATACAATCGAACTTGACCAACGACCACATTAATTGTCCAAAACAATCTACTGTACGAAAGACTACCCTCCCAACTGTCGCGCTTTCTTTCCTTTAGGGCTTGGTTTTCATTATTATTATTTTTTTTAATATCAAAATGATGTGGAGAAAAGTGGTCATCTTAGACAGGTGGTCCTCTTGGACGGTGCTGATATAATAATATGGAAAAAAAAACGCACAGTAGAAAGTGGGAAGCGATCGTTAGTACAGGTCTTGGACATGTGGACATTAGAGCATGTTCGATTGTATAAATGCTATTTACTTGTCTCTATACGTTTCTGTACATATTATTGTGTTCATGTTCTAGATGCCGTATCTACAGTAAAAAGTAGAACAATACACTGGAACAACGGTCGGTAGCCCTTCGGCATGGCACAAGACAATGCAGGAATACATGTACTGCTGAAGGGGCAGATGACATGGCTGCTATTGTCCTGACTGTTCCTCTAGTTTTAAAAGTTGCTTTTCGTAGTCTAACAAACGACGAGTCACAGTCTACCAGAAGATCGACTCTGGATCCAAACAACATTTATTCAAGTTTCTTGTTCGTCATTAACTTAGACTATGATAAAATGTTCCATGATCCTCAAAGAATGGGGAAACATGCATATAAAATACATACAAAGATAGCCTCTGCGAGAAAATCAACAAAAAAAACAACCCCATAATAATATATGTTTGGTATGAGTAAGAAGAAGCACATCGACAATATCATTATAGTGGAATATAGAGAAAAGACAAATGGACACAAAAAAACTCCAGAGAGAACGACAATAAGTATTATCTCTTTGTTACACACTCCAACCACCAGCAAATGCATTGACTTGTCTAAAATATAAAAGAAAATAAAAAAGAATAAAAAGCACCAATAGTTTTTTTGTTTTTTTTATTCCAAGTCATAAATCGCCGTACTTTCTCCAGCTCAGCGACAGTACGGCAAAACATGTGATCTCCATATATCAAGCGACACCTCGCAAAAATTAATATTTGTTTAGCGGATGACTTACTATGGGCAGCATTTCTCAGCAAAGCGAGGGGGCACGGTCTCTAGGTACTTCCAAATTGTCGGACAAAGACAGGTGGGAACGAAGAGCACTAATGAACGTGCCCTGACTTAATGTGGACCTGTGAGGACAGTTGGGCTAGCACACATTTCTTGTTGAATCAGATAAGTCCACCTGTTTGCAATCGAAACATTTAACTAAGATAGGCTTTTAATTCGTTCTGCCGTCTTTATTTTTCGTTATTTATTTGTTTTTGCTTTTGTTTATTTGTTTGCTCCTTTTTCTTTGTTTTCTTTGGTCGTTTT